TCTTGCAAGTCAAGGCCAGTATGACACTTTGAAGTCTTCATGAACCTAGATTCCTCCTATATTTTGCTCCACTTTCCTCATATTGGCTTCCATCCTCTAGATATCCTCATGATTCAGGGTGATTGCTAGAGCTTTAGCCATCCCATCTGAGTTCCCAGTAACTGGTTAAAAAGGAGGAGCAAAAGAGAGGGATGCGCCCCAGCTAAATCTGCTCCGTTTCACAGTCCTTTTCGTAAACCCTACCCAACAGCACTTCTGATTATAGTCTCGTTGGCAGAACTCAAGTGGACACATCTTACTTTGAGAAAGGCTATATATATAGTGTGGTCTTTTACCTGGGAGCAGCACTGTCTTTAAGGAAATTAGGGTGGTATTACAAAAGAAGAAAGGGAGGATACATGTTGGGTAGGCATCTAGTAGATTCTGTCATAGAAATTTTTCAACAGGCTGAACTATAATTTCTGTTATGGGTGCATACACATACACCTATGATGTTTATTGTATGTCCCTATTTCATGTAGTTACACTTTTAAATTGGATTCCCTGTAAGATTTTTAGAATTTATGCTGTTCAGGCTGCTTATTAAATCATGGGTTTGGCTTTATTATTATCCAGGATATGTCATTATAAAGTAATTATTTCCTGAATTGTCATGAATATTGCTTCAAGGTCTTTGGAGATAGATAGTACTGTTGAAGTCACAGTTTCATTGCTTATTGGCTATATTCTATATGTGGCCCCATTGTTCTTTGTGCACATTCCATTTTTGTATATTTCATACTGCATTGCAGTTTGATATTTCCAGGCAAGTAAAGCCCAAATGTGAGCTCCTTGAAGAGAGAACTATCTTATTCAGAGGGAGTACTTAGTAGTGATTATTGAATATGTAAATGAAAATTCTGCTGTCGAGGACATGCATAGAATGTACCTAAAGTGTTGCAAGCTATTTCAAAAGGAGAGTTAGAAATACATTTTTTTTATATATAATAGGAGTATTGCTGGAATTAACATATGGTTCTCCCAAGGAGATAGTGCCTAATTCCTTTACATATAAAATGTATATTAACTTACTTCACTGGGATGTTTTAAGGAGTCAGTAAATCAATATTTGTAAAAGCAAGTGTCTGGTAATATGTAATTACTGATAGTTGTAGGAAAACCAATTTTATGTTCTCCAAACTCACACCTCTTCTCCTGTCTCAGATTTCTAATTGTTTGATGTGTGCTAATTTTGCTTTCTCAAGTATGTTTTATAAAAGCCATTTCTTTAAACTTGTTCTTTACCCTTAACCCAGTAATGTGATTTTCAGTTATATAGTCAATACATTAACTTCATATAAAATCAAGAAAGAAGGAAAAGACAATATCTTGAAATTCACTAGCAGTTATGCAGAGATTGATGGTGAAAAAAATTACCATCTATGTGATTTTAGAAAGCACGTGCTTATTAAATGGGATCAGGGAATGTTATAGAGTAAAGAAAGTTAATATTTCAAAAGGAAGAAAAGAAGCCCAAGGACCAGAGAAGTATGGAGTGGAATAGGAGACATGGTGTTATAAAAACAGAGAGGTTAAAGGGTTAGAAGAGAAAACAGCGATTGAAGAAGCTCTTTAAGGCATTCAGAAAGTTCAAGAAAACTGAGTTCATTGGATTTTACCTGGTGGAGATCCTTAAAAGAGTGTAAATGAAGTGCAAAAGATCCAGTCCATATTTTTTAAAGGGTAAATAAAATGGTAGAATCTGAGATACCTGTTTTCCATTTAAGAAATTTGACCATTACCAGAAAAAGGAGAATGAAGTTAATGGGTTTAGTAAAAGCCTGTTTAACATGGGGGTACATCTGAGGGGATTATGATAACATAACAGACCAAATTCTAGGAATTTCTTAGAACTGTGCAGACCGTGCATGATGGGATAGCCATCTGGGGGTCTTTGTTGATAAACTGTTAAAAACGTTTCTAGTGTGAATAGCCACAAACATTTTCAGTGCTTTTTTGTTGGTTGAGTAAACCGAAGAGCATGAATGCAAAAGCAAAATTTGATGCCAAATCACAGAAGTTGCCATAAACACAGAAGTTCCCCTAGTGAGGACACTGCCTGTGCCTGAATTTCATTTGTTTCTGCTGCTACCATTTCTTAATTTTTCCTGGTGACTAGCCAGATTAGAACTATGAATGAAGACAAAACCGGTCATGCCCAGATGGCAGATGAGATCTAGGTAACTTAGGTAAGTGGAGAAAACATTCAAGGTTTTGATGTGATGATCTGGTCTGATCTGGTGTATCTTAGAATGAAAGAGATGTGCTTATTCTTTGTCATGGGGGTTTGCAACCTTAGTATATGCCTAAATCTACAGCTGCTCCTCATTTTCCAGATGGCATCTATGGCTGGGAGTACTTTTTACCATCTGTACTTCTCAAAGAGTTTGTGAACTCTCTCTTTTAATTATTGGAAATGGAAAAACTAATTGGTAAAGTGGTTAAATGATGTAAAAGATTTTAAAAATTAAGTTAGAACTTTTTATGTTCTGTTTAACCTTTTTAGAAAAGGACCAGTGAAGAGAAAAAGTGAAAAAATGCTTTTTGACTTTCATCTTTGCGTACCCTCCATCTTTGATATTTGTGATACTCCATAATACTTTGTAATAACTATTTTGTACCTTGACTCGTATTTTGAGCCAAATTCCAAAACTCTTACCTCCTTCCAATACTGTACTGTTTTCAACATGTGCATGGAGCAGCTAACACTGAATGAATGCAGAATACAACTTAAGTGAATTGTTCCATTCATCAATAATGTTTTCAAGTAGGTAAGGTATAGTGTCAGGATTTGTCAAAGTAATTGAGGAAAAGAAACTTTTTTATGTGTTGTCTTTGTTTCTATATATGTAAATTGTTGGGATAGCGGGGAAGCAATTTCCCACTTAGGTAATACTTTTTTAACTAGCTGAGAATAATAGGAGTGACATCTGACTCTGAAAATGAACATACTCTCTATCTAGGGAATTCTAGATTTGGAGTGTTATTAACTTTTATTTTTCCTTCTTTCAGTTTTATGAGTCATAAATGTATTTTCTTGATGATGTGTTGTAAATAAGTATCCTCTAATAATCACTAGATACAGTACTTATTCACCATCTTTTCTCTTTAGGCAGGTTCTACTGGGGAAAATTCTCTAGATAGTTTGTCCATTTATAAAATTAGACACTTGCCATCTTTGCTCATTTTCAAGTTCTCTGTTTACAAAACTATTAAGAAGGTGTGAAATGCAGCCAAACTTCCCAGTTTATGGGAAATGTCTGATGATTGCATTTCCTACATGTTCATTGTTCACACATGAAGAAATTTGGCAGCTGCAAGATTATTAAGTTTAGAGTATCCAAATCTAACCCTCACTGGGATTTTGGTTTCCTGCTTTCTACCCCCACCATCTCACCCTCTTTTGTAACCATCTTTGTGGTAAGTGCTGTGGTGTTATTTCTTAAGGTTGGTGACCCTTCAGTTTTCTTTGTTTTCCATTTATCAGGCACTAAAGACAAGGAGTTCACCTGATACAGAGTCCTGGCTTCATTCAGTCAGAAACATACCCAAACTCTTAAGGAGGTTCCTTCTCAATAAAGAGGTTTTATGGTGGTGCTGTTGTTGAGAGAGGGTGACAGTGATGGTAGCTAATCTAAATTCTGTAATTTTTCATAATTACTTGCTAGAAAATTTGTGGTCATGCACCTAAGTGTTTGTAGCTAACTGATAATCCTAGAAAATGGTTTATGTATATTTTGGTTGATTTCATTTTTACTTGATTTGGATTTTAATTCAAGTACGTTTTTCATGCTGAAAACTTCACATTACTCTGTTTCTTCATTATTACTAAAGACCAGTCATGGAGAAGTGAGATTTTTTTTCTGAATACATGTACTACTTTTAGAGATTTTAAATGTGTAGAGTTGTGAAGGGAGAAAACTATATGATTTGTTAAGTGGATCAAAAGTGAGCAGCTCCTTGGGGCGTCTGGATGACTCAGTCAGTTGAGCATCCAACTTCAGGTCATGATCTCACCGTTCATGAGTTCAAGCCCCACATCGGGCTCTGTGCTGACAGCTCAGAGCCTGGAGCCTGCTTCAGATTCTGTGTCTTCCTCTCTCTCTGCCCCTCTCTCTCTCACGTTCTGTGTCTCCTGTCTCTCTGACTCTCTCTCTCTCTCTGTCTCTCTCTCAAAAATAAATAAATAAATAAACCTTAAAAAAAGGCCAGAAGCTCCTTTGATCTGAAGAGATACTGGTAGTTAAATAGATACTGGGTATATAAAGATTCAGTTGACAAGAAAAAGGAGACAAAGAAATGGGAAGTTGGGGCAGAGGTGTGACGGGAGTAGGAAAAGGGAAAGAACACAGAATAGGACTAGTTAGCATCATGGTGCCATAAACAGCTGCCTCGGGGGCTTCTGTCCTCCGGTTTAGCCATCCCTCAAAGAATTCTGTGACAGCTTCCAGAGAGTTAATACTATCATTTGGTGGTCCAGTTTAACATATTCAGTGTCTTTTACATATTTCTTAAGTCTGTTTTCAAAATGATGGTGGTAGTCGTTTTTACTACAATTGAAGGTTATTCTAAAGAGTAGTTGGGGCGCCTGGGTGGCGCAGTCGGTTAAGCGTCCGACTTCAGCCAGGTCACGATCTCGCGGTCCGTGAGTTCGAGCCCCACGTCAGGCTCTGGGCTGATGGCTCAGAGCCTGGAGCCTGTTTCCGATTCTGTGTCTCCCTCTCTCTCTGACCCTCTCCCGTTCATGCTCTGTCTCTCTCTGTCCCAAAAATAAATAAACGTTGAAAAAAAAAAAAACTTAAAAAAAAAAAAAGAGTAGCAAAATCACGTTTTTGTTTAATAAGTCACTTGAATCAAAGATTCTGTGAATGAAAATTATGGTCACCATTGTCTTTGAATATTCTACAGTGGGAAAAGTAAATTTAGAATTTGAAACTCTGTCCTTTGTGTTTCGTTCACAGGCTGTAGAAGAAGAAGATAAGATGACACCTGAACAGCTGGCAATAAAGAATGTTGGCAAGCAGGTGAGGTATACCGTAATAGGTTATGCAGTCGCATAATAACATGCTCTTGTAGAGTTAAAACTGTTTTAGGGCCTGCATGATTTTTTTTCCTGTCTGTTCACTCTACATTTTTCTTCTGTCATGTAAATACGATGCTAATTTTAAAGGTCACTGAATTACTTGATGTCAAATTCTCTTTGCCATATATAGTGAAGTCACAAATATACCTGTGAGATACTATCTTTAGTGAAAATAATTTACTAGAAATAAATTAGGAAACTTAGGTCCTGAGTTGTATTAATTTTTCAAGTATTATTTTTACTGGAAATAACATAATCAGTGAATAATAGAATGGTAGATTTATTTCATATGTAACAGTTTTTTAAATGATACAGTTTGTCAATTTCTAGGTTTCAATATGTAGGTAATGTTCCTGAGAAGGCTTAGAGCCCCATTGGAGTATAGTGAGTGAAGAAGGGTTTTAAGTATTTGCTCTTTCACTTTTCCAAGATGAAATCTATATTTTAGTTCCTAGTTTCTGAGGGTTGGGGGAACACACCAACCAATTAAAAGAATCTACAGATTAATTAAACTGTTTTTTAAAGAATGTTGATTACATTTTTTTTCATTTCATGGAACATGGTTATCATATTGCTGATGTTGGCAGAATCTTGATATTTCAGATGCAAGACACTAAGCTGTCTTTGCTTTCAGCCATCCTACCATATGCTCTGATCCCATCACATCTCACAAGCTATGTAGGTTTGGGCCAGGACCATTCTTGGATGGGAAATCTCTAAGAATCACCCAGCTGCCACAAGAAGTAATGTAGATAACTGAGGGAAGTGTGTTACCAATTCACTACAAAACCAGTTACTCCAACAAAGCAGGAGGGGCAAAGGTCTGACTTAAATATCGTAATCAGGGAAATTAAATCTCAACTGCAGTCTGAATATTATAATTTAAAAACAACAAGAACTCTCCCAAAACAAAATGAAGTATAGTTCATCTTAATCTCTCATCCTGTGTGATACAGTTACTCTCGTTGTCTTTTCCCACTATTTATTGTAGTCTCATATTTATTATTAGATCACCAGCTTGGAGCCTTACCCTTTAGAGAATTTAGGATTTTTTGACTAAATGAATCTGAAGCTACGATGTAGATTGTGGTAACAGTTAGCAACAAGTAAAAGGTCTAAATTAAAGGCAAAGCTGAAAAATATGTAATGGGCAAAGTTAAATAATGATCAGAATCATTTTTCAAAATACAGCATTTCACTGGTTTAACCTATCGCATGGCAAAAGCAAACCTGTCTAGAATGGAATCAGATCACTATCTTTTTCTCCTCCCGGGCTTTCAAAAAGTCACTTTCACTAAAATGTCCTAAGGTGTATTTCTGAAATAAAGAAAATTTAATATGTGGTCTAGTTACTTAAAATTATTTGTATCATGTTGCATCCCTGGGTTTGTTTAAGGAAATCAAGCATATATTGAAATTGTAATTTAGGAAAGAACAGCCAAGAAATAATTCCAGTGATGAACATTTGTTTAAAGTTAGGAGTCTTGGGTATTTTAGCAATACCCAAACGAAAATAATGCTTTAATTGAGAGTTTTTTAAATGTGTGCAATATATATATGTATACACACACACACACACACACACACACACACATATTATTTTAAAGCTTTCATATTTAGCTGATAGATTTCATTCAGCTCAGCCTTAGACATGAATATAAATTAAGCATTTTAATTTGACTTCATTTATTACAATGTTATTTTAAGCCTCATTTTTAACTAAGACATTTTATATATGGATTTAATTAGGTTTCAGTTAAAAGACTATACCTATATACTTTACTATGATAGTTTTTTTTTTCAAAATAAGTGTATAAAATATATATTCTTAACAATGTAGAATTGATCCAAATTGCATTTAAATGTTTAAACAACTAACATTGACTTTTGATCCAAGAATATTTCCTGAATCATTTAAAGCACCTTTCCTGAAATACTAAAAATTATACATGAATTAAATTTAAATTAAAATTACGGAGGAAGTAATGAGAATTCACATTCAACTCTTACCTATTGGTATGTCTGCTTTGAGTAAAGAGCCCACTCGGTCAATAAATATGAAAGACACAAAATACGCACACATACTTGGGCTTATGCACACATATAAATGCTTAAACTTTGTTTTTTAAAAAATCAGATGCTGCGGCTTTATAGAATTCCTTGTTACTCTTTGTAATTTCTGGTGCAGAGTCATAGCATCAATTGTGTAAATCAGTCTTTCGGGGTAAATCTTATTATTTTATCAGGTACTTAATTTTTAATTAATTTAGAAATCCTAAGAATGTAGCGATATATTAGGAAAGTTAAATTGTACATATATATATAAATTTAGGTTTGGCTTTCTTTACCAGTTTCATCAGCTACTTTAAGTAACTGTTCTATCAGTAACATCGTTCTTTTTTCTTTTTCTTTCCCCATTTTTTTTTATTTAGGACCCCAAACGTCATTTGGAGGAACATGTGGATGTACTTATGACTTCAAATATCGTCCAGTGTTTAGCAGCTATGTTGGATACTGTCGTATTTAAATAAAACAATGCAAAAGGCTATTAGTGATACTTTTCAGCGTATATTCCTCTGTTGTTCCTAATGCTCAAAATCAAGGGACCTCTGAAGGTGTGTTTGGTTCAATGTAAGACATCTGGCATCATTTGCAGCACTGTAACACCTTCAGTCTCAGTTGTGCAATTACTTCTGTTTCTTTGGTCAGGGTCTTTGCAGATTCCAAAGTTGTATAAGAATACATCAAAGTGGACAAATTTTGTTAAGATCCCATTTAATATTTGAAGAAAACAGTAACACAAATATATTTTGATTGTTGCTTACAAAATAAAATACATTTACAATCTATGTCTCCTGAGGTTTTTTGGCACTGGGTGGAATTGACAGAGTAACATTTGACAGTGCTCTAGAAATCTCACACAAAGATATGTTTCTCTTTGCAATTTAAGATCTTATAATACATAAAACATCAATGTGATAACAAAACTTGACAAATGTAAAATGATTGCCATTAAGGAGTTGCTGCCCCATTAGTGAGTAACCCAGGAAAAAATGTTGACATGTTTTATTTGAAGTATCTGTCACAAATTAGTATTGTATATTCAGTTTCTTAATGTATTATACTTTCCAGGGTTCCAGAGGAGTACATTTAAGAAGAAAAAGGTGACAATGTTAATTTAGACTTTTTCATTTTCTTAAAGAGTACATTCTACCAACAGTGTTGAGATTATTTGGGAGTGGCCGGCTGTGACTCCCATTAGACTTTTAGCTAAGACAGCAATAGAAGGTATATAATCTTGAAAGCAAAATGAGAAAAGTCACCATAATGTGAGTTTAATATGAACACATAAATAATTCTGCTTTCTCTCATCTTTTCCAAATTAAAAATACTCAGTTTTCTGATAAAGACAAAAATTTGACTAATGGCAGGTTTTATAGATGACCTTACCCCTCAACCTGTTCCTAACCTAATTTACATAAATAACTGCCCATTAATCCTCATGGCACAGCACCATACTGGGTACACCAAGGAGTATGGGAAAACATATGGAGACAGATTTCATTCTTGTCTGTACCCTTTGTGAAAATATGGTAAAAATGTTTGTTTCTGAGGCTTCATTAAAAAGAGGGTTTTACTTGGGGGCTTGGAATTTAGACTTAACCTCTACTAGAAGTGGTAGGAATGACGTGGTAGACCACATTACTGTCCTACTTGAACAATTCTAGGCTCTTATTGGTTGCCTAATGAACAGTTACCAGAAACAAAAAGTAGAAATGGCTTAAATTCCCACTGTGTTTCATAGACTTTTTTGGTGGAATAAGAGGTATTCTGAGCATTTGCTTGTCCTGTGGCTTTTTCTTTTACATATAGTATGTTTTATGTAGGACATGTAACATGTATTAATAATTGTTGAAATTACAACAGCTAACCATTTACAATTAAAATATAAGTGGAAGTTAGCAGAAGTTTTCCTTTTGCCTAATTTAATCTTGTGTGCAGACTTTTTGGATACATGGTTTTTCCCTTTACATAAATAGGGTTCTATCTATGATTTGTTTCGCAGATACTGTTCATTAGAGCTAGTCAGGATTTTTTTTTTCCATACAGTATGTATGCCCCTAGAAGAAGGCCTCAATAACTCAAGGGCTATTCTCAACATTCCATTTGAAAATAGTTTTTTATTTTTCATTTTACTCTCCTGAAAATGTCTCCTGAGAAGGTTTACACAGTGCCTGCCTTTTGCTCTCATTTGATCACCTCACCTTGGACTTCCCACGGCCAGTACCACTTTCTTCTACTTGGTTCATGTTAGAGACATTCCCAATTTCAAAACCTTATCAGATCCCTCCTAGCAAAACCCTGCATTTTCTTTGGAGATTTGGAATGGATCGAAATGAGGATGCCCTGAGTCTCAATGAACACTTTTGTCCTGGAATGTGCAGCTATTTCAGCAGCAGCCTGGTGGCTCAGGTCCAGTTAGGCATTGAAACGACTTATTTAATCACAGGCTCAATAAGGTGTGTGTGTGTGTGTGTGTGTGTGTGTGTGTGTGTGTGCTTATGTGAGCATCTTTACCCATCTATTATGCAGTGTTAAAGCAGCACAAGAACCCAAACTGCTTGCCTCTAGCATTGAGCTGTCCCTGTTTTCCTCTCAGACTGACATGGGGACATTGGAAGCTCCAGCCTCAACAATTCAGTGATCTTCCTGGACCAGGAGCCCCTGGGTCTTCTGGGAGCTCATTATATATACAGAATATACATTATATATACAGACCTGAATCAAGAATCCTGGCATGGTTCGTATGCACTTTCAAGTCTGCACATACTTGCTGCACACAAGTATGGCTCAAGAGCAGGTGTGCTGATTTTGAAGAAAGTCTAGAGTTTTCCTTTTTGAACATATGTAAGTTCAAGGCATAGCCTGTAGTGAGGAATCACTGAATTTAGTACTGATAAAGTCAGAATGCACATTAATCTCCTATTCCAGTTCCTTAAAAAAACTGAGGAATTTATCCCTTTTCTATCCCTCTTCTATACTTTAACATTTCATCATTCTCCATTCTTTAAAAAAGAAAAAGCCAAGTCAGGGTGCTGGGAATGAGCCCAAAAGGAATGAGCCTCGCTCGAAAGGAGCCCAGGTGCAGTCTCGCCTTTTTGCTACATACTTAAGGTTTTGTACCTCACTGAAAAAGGAGGGGGGTAATCTTGGAAGCAGTGGACAGAGAGGCGCTCAGGGACAAAGAAGTTAATGATCGAAGAAATGAGAAAAACCAGAGTAACCGAAATTGGGCAAAAACCTCGGGGAGAAATGGTGGTGGAAGGTAAAGGGAAGGGCAGAAAAACCAAGTGTCAAAAAGTGTCATAGCCACTGTCTCCTCCCCCGCAACTCGATGCCTCAACACCAAGGCCCTGCTTGTTTATGAAGCTTCATGGCCAGGAGCTGAGATTTGCTTCCGAAAGGGGAAAACAAAAAAAAAAAAAAAAAAAAAAAAAAAAAATGGGTCTGGCTGTATTTTTCTATCAGAAAGCTGTCTCGGCTTGAGTCTGGGACATCTGGTCATCAACTTGTCCAGCCCAGGGCCGTCCGCCCTGGGCCTTGCTCGCGGCGCCCTGCTGGAGGCCACAGCTGGTGCCCTCTGCAGCCAAGGCGCCCAGCCCGCCTCGGGGGCTCGGGCTGGGCTCCGCGCTGACCGCTCGGCCCACCGAGGCAGCGCTCTAAAATCGCGCCCGCCTAGGCGGAAGTCGGGTCTGGTTAACCCCTCTCTGCCCAAGCCCGGGACCCACCCAGTGTCCTCAGCGCCGCTCTCCATCAGGGAAGTGCCGAGGCCCGAGGAGGGCTGACGCGCTTCTCGAAGACTTCGGCTGCACGGGTCGGAGGTGCCGGGGCCGTGCCTCCGGCACTGGAAGAGTGTGCGCCCCCGGCGTCCGCGCCACGCGCGGCTCTCCCCACGCTCCCCTGCGTCTCCCGGGCGGCGGCTCCCCCTCGGGGCCGCCGGGGAGCTGGGCAGCCTACGCTCAGGCCGCTCGGGGACGTTAGACAATGCACCAAAGCCGGGTGGGCCGCCGGGCTCGGGGATGGCCGCTCAGGCTGCCAGCCCTAGCGGTGCTCGGCGCGGGGCCCGCCCGCCCGTCCGCCAGCCCGCGGGGCCGAGCTCAGCTCCCGCCGCGCGCCTCCTCCTTCTTCCCGCGCGGCTCCGCGCCCCGTGGAAAGCCTCAGGAGGGCAGGCTGGCGGGTGCCGGGCCACGGGAAGCAACTTGGGCCGGGTAAAGCCGCTGCTGCTCTTGGCCCTCTGGTCCGGGCGCAGGGCTGGGTTCCTCTGGAGAGCCAGTGCTGGGAGATTTCTTCCGACATCCCAGGGTCGCTTTGGGCCTCGTGCTATTCATTCGTGCCAACATCCTTTTAAATTGGTTATTTTCTCTATTCCTCCGTAAGTTCTTCCTCATTTTAAACTTACTGGCATGTTTCTTTTTTCCCTCTCCCCTTCAGATTATATAAACATTGCACACACACACACACACACACACACACACACACACACACACACACGACCAGTTTTCAGCATCGATCACTGCGTTGACACCACTTCCACTCTGTCTCCCCAGATCAGCGCTTCCAGCGAACCCATTTGCGCGAGGACTCGGCCCTCTCTGTTCCTGGCGAGGCGTTTGAACCTTGTCGCCAAGCCAGTACCTCAGAGAGAAGGAAGTGCAGTGGGACGCGCGTGCATGGCGCCTGCCCCCAGTTAGATGCTCTTCAGATAATCTGCAACCAAGCTCGCTGATAAAATATTTAGTAAAGACCTCGTAAACATCACTGCAAATACATTAAGGCACTTCAGCCCGACAGCTTATGATTATTTCAAAACTTAAAAAGGTGATCATAGATTGTCACTGTTTCTGTGCTCGAGCAAGAAACCGAACCTTCCCGAGGTGGGTGGATGGGTGGGTGAGTGGCTGCTTTTCGCCCCCACTTCTCCCCCTCCCCCTCACTTTTATGGCTGTGGCTCTCAGCGGCAGTGATTTATTTATTTATGTATGTAGTTAAAAAGGTGTGCGGGAGGGGGGGCGGTTCGTCGAGGACACGCAGGACCTTCTCACAAAGGACTGGCTCAGGTGTTATGTGCTTCTGTATTAACTGGAAAAGACAGACTCTGGAACTTTTACAGGGCGAGAAGAGGCCACCGGCTCGCGCTTTGTATACTTTGCACTTGAAATCGTTACATTCAACTGAATATTTGGCTCATTCAGATCCGAAAAGTCTCCTAGCATCATCGAATTCCCTCCTCCGCCCCTCAGCTGAAAGGAGGGAGGTGGGGGGGGGGGGGAAGGTAGGAAAATGTTTAGTAAATTGCACATCTTTGAATCTTCCTAAAGCAGTGGTCACAAAGCTTAAAGGTGACACAACAGTGCTCACGTAAAGCCAACACACATTCCCCACCCCCCAAGCCAACAATAAAATCATCCCCTTCAATTTGCCATGATCGTCGCGACCAGGAGCCAGGTGATTATCCTAATTAATGTCTATCTAATTAAATTACTGTCAGCAGTTAACCAATGGCAGGAGCCGTTTCATCGGCTGCACAAGCAGCAAGATCAAAAGTGAGCCTTTTCTGATTGCTGCATAGTGTCAATTGGCCAATCTCTTCTCCCAGGGAAAAAAAAAAGTAAATCAAACCTTTGAGAAGCATTTGCTGGTTGAAGTGCTTTCTGTCTAGTGAGGGGGTCTGTGGATTTCTAGTTTATGATAAATAGGACTTTAAAAACCAGGGACAGGAGGGCGAGTGTTCAGGTTCTAGAGCTATGCAGCTGGAGCACTGCCTTTCTCCTTCTATCATGCTCTCCAAGAAATTTCTCAATGTGAGCAGCAGCTACCCACATTCAGGCGGATCTGAGCTTGTCTTGCACGATCATCCCATTATCTCGACCACTGACAACCTGGAGAGAAGTTCACCTTTGAAAAAAATTACCAGGGGGATGACGAATCAGTCAGATACAGACAATTTTCCTGACTCCAAGGACTCACCAGGGGACGTCCAGAGAAGTAAACTCTCTCCTGTCTTGGACGGGGTCTCTGAGCTTCGTCACAGTTTCGATGGCTCTGCTGCAGATCGCTACCTCCTCTCTCAGTCCAGCCAGCCACAGTCTGCGGCCACTGCTCCCAGTGCCATGTTCCCGTACCCCGGCCAGCACGGACCGGCGCACCCCGCCTTCTCCATCGGCAGCCCCAGCCGCTACATGGCCCACCACCCGGTCATCACCAACGGAGCCTACAACAGCCTCCTGTCCAACTCCTCACCGCAGGGCTACCCCGCGGCCGGCTACCCCTACCCACAGCAGTACAGCCACTCCTACCAAGGAGCCCCTTTCTACCAGTTCTCTTCCACACAGCCCGGACTGGTACCCGGCAAAGCTCAGGTGTACCTGTGCAACAGGCCCCTCTGGCTGAAATTTCACCGCCACCAAACGGAGATGATCATCACCAAACAAGGAAGGTAATGCTACATTCTTGGCAGTCGCTGTTCCGGGCACGGCCCGGGGGCAAGTGCGCCGGGTTGTGACCGCGCCGGTAGCGATGATTTGGGGTCGGGAGCGGAGTGGAAGGCGCTCTGGTGCGCCCTGGAGTTGGCTGGTTTTGGAAAAAGGGAAGGTGGAAGGTATAACCGCCGCGGTGAGGTTGGTAAGGGGATTCCCGCGCTAGAGAGGTGGTCTGAGAGCCAGTCAGGGGCGGGAGAAAGGAGAAAGAGAGGGAGAGTCCCGGCCTGCGGCTGGGAAATCGGAGGGACGCAATAACGGCCGGAACCGAGGACAGGTAGAGAGTTGCGGGTCGCCACCTCACTCTCCACCTGGGCAGTGACACCTGCCGACTCCCCACGCCAGCTCGCCCGCCGGTCTCCCCGACTTCAGCCCCACTTCTTTTCCTCCCCCACCGCCCCTTCTCTAACCCAGCAAACATTCGCTCATCGACGCTGGGAGAACAAGTTTTGCTTTGCTATCTGGCGCCGCGCTTCTTGCATTTAATCTTTAACATTTATGTTTTTTTTTTTTCTCTGTTGTTTTCCCCCCCCCCCCCCTTAATTTAAATAGGCGCATGTTTCCTTTTTTAAGTTTTAACATTTCTGGTCTCGATCCCACGGCTCATTACAATATTTTTGTGGATGTGATTTTGGCGGATCCCAATCACTGGAGGTTTCAAGGAGGCAAATGGGTTCCTTGCGGCAAAGCGGACACCAATGTGCAAGGCAAGTCCTTCCAATTAACACATTTTCCTGACACTTATTTAGGTGAGAATGATTAATTAAAGCCTTTGTGGACTGGCTCGAGAGACTTTTAAAACGATCGGCCAATGACTTCTAAAAGGAAACGAGGGGGATAGGGGGACAGACTGAGCAGCGAGAAGGGGGAGGATTATGCAAAAGCTATTTTAATCATCTCCAGTTAATAAGGAGAAAGCGAGGCCTAAAAAAAACCCCAGCTAATGGGCCTCACTGTGGTATAAGGTGTGTGTGTGTGTGTGTGTGTGTGTGTGTGTGTGTGCGCGTCCTACGTGGTGAGGAGTTGGGACTGGGCAGTGCCCCGGGCATATGTAAACAACGTATTTCTTTCTCTAGGAAATCGAGTCTATATGCATCCGGATTCCCCCAACACGGGGGCTCATTGGATGCGCCAAGAAATCTCTTTTGGAAAATTAAAACTTACAAACAACAAAGGAGCTTCAAACAACAATGGGCAGGTCAGTGGCTCAAGCGCTCCTCTCTCTCTCTCTTTCTCTTTCCTTCTCTCCCACACATGTCCCTCACTAACGTTCAGTCCATTAGTTTACATTAGCATGAGAAACTGGGCATATGTTTCTTTGCTTCATTAAAAAGACTTTTTAAAAATTCTATTTCTATCCTCCTATAAAGTTGCTCTTGCCCTCTGCCCAATTCCCGAGTTCCCGGCCTTCCCTAGTACTGTCCAAATACTTGATTGATTTTGAGAAGGAACCCCCACAGGACCTGCTTGTTGTAAAAATCTTTGTTCCTCCTAAATAAGGAGGGCTAGGCGGATCGGGAGGACCCGAGGATCAGGCAGTCGGGTTCGGTTTTCCTCCCGCGCTCCGGTGCTCTAGGCTCCGGGAGGAACGAGGGCTGGTCTTGCCCCAGCCAGCCAGTCACCAGCCAGGGGAGTCCCGCGGTCAGGTAGCCGGGGCGGCGGGCTCCAGCCAGACCCCGCGCGGCCCGCGGCCCCAGCCCCGCGCGCGTTGACCGCGCTAACGCGCCGCCCCGCGCTCCCTTTTCTCTCTGCCGGACAGATGGTGGTTTTACAGTCCTTGCATAAGTACCAGCCCCGCCTGCATGTGGTGGAAGTGAACGAGGACGGCACGGAGGACACCAGCCAGCCCGGCCGCGTGCAGACGTTCACTTTCCCCGAGACTCAGTTCATCGCCGTCACCGCCTACCAGAACACCGATGTAAGCAGGCCTGGGGGCTGGGCGCGCGGCGGGCGGCTCCCGCTTCCCCCGGCAGAGGCCCGCGTCCCCGGCGGTGCCCCGCTCGCACTAACAGCAGCAACAGCTGGCTCCGCGGTGCCTTTCGGGCGGAGGGCGAGGGGCCTGCCGGGCGCCTTCCCTGAATCCCTTGCCGGTGGGAAAACGCTTCTTGTTCGTCTCCATCGCGGGTCACACGGGCCACCTTTGAGGGGCCCAGGATTTCGAGGGCCTCTTCTCTTGGGAATTTTAAGTCAGTTCTCAAACTAGAACAGGTTTAAATCTCCTCCCTCCCTTCCTTCCTTCCTTCCTTCCTTCCTTCCTTCCTTCCTTCCTTCCCTGCTTTTCCTTTCGAATCCTTCTTGCCTGTAGGAAACAAGCCGACTTTCCCCTGCATTTTATTCTTGGCAAGCTTTGGCATTATCTTAAACAAAAAATTAAAGTATCCGAAATAAAAACATCACTTTTGGGGGGAGCAAAAGAACAGACACATTCATATATCTGGAAAGTACAATAAATCAAATTCCCGGAAGCCTTGGAATGAGTTTTTTTTAGCACTTGAACTTCAGAATTTGTAAGTTCATGAAAACTTATTTTACTTCTGTTGATTTCACTGCTAGGAGTGATGGTGGGTTTTTTTTTTTTAACTTAAATGAAAGTATCAGAAATGAAAATATGCATTTATTTTAATTTAAAGCTGGTTTTTTAAGATGCAGCTAGGAGTTCTTGGGGTTTTGAATTAGAAATGACCAACTTTTAAAAATGTGGTGAAATGTTTAAAATAGGCAACGTTTGGTGATGAATTCAAGTGCCCCTCAAAAATTTTTGTCTTTTTATAACGAGCATTTTTAAAATGTGCATTTGAAGTGACTTAGAACACACAGGAGAGCTAGTTGAAAGCAAAGCTTTAGTGTTAGGCATCATTAACTTAAACATGTTCCTCATAACTTTCATGATGCTCTCTCTTTTCTCCTTTCCATTCATTCCCTCAAAATCTTTGGGTAGGGAAACCTGGCTACTTAATGAAATTGCAGGCCTTAAGCCCTTGTAAAAAAAAAGTGGTGATTTATTTGCAACACCTAATCCACCTGTATAGAATGTTATTTATTTTTTTTTTTTTTTTTTTTTTTTTTTTTTTGTCTTATCCAGATTACACAATTGAAAATAGATCACAACCCCTTTGCAAAAGGATTTCGGGATAATTATGACACGTAAGTAATCTTGCACCTTCCTTCTCAAGTAGTTGTGGAATTGGGCTTTAGGTCAAAGGTGGATGGTCGTGTACAAGGCTTTTGGAAGCTGGAGTGTGTGAAGACAAGGTGTCTTTAAGGTTTCCCCTTTCCTTTTCATGGGCTCCCCTTCTCTCTGCTGACCTTCTGGCTTGGTACTTCCGTAGTTTTGGTCAAAGATTTCCTCCACTTATTTCTGTCTTTCTTATGGGTTACAAAGTTGGTGGTGGGCCTCTGGGGCTGGCTGGCTGGCTGGGGGAGCTGCCCTGGTTCCCGGGTGCACGAGCTGAGCTGTATGTGGCGCTGCAGGTGCTCAGCTCAGATTGCCTGTGTCTGAAACCGCCCGATCCTGCCGGAAAGTGCATGTGGCTCTGGCAGTTGTTACAGTCTCCTTGGCATATGTGGCTTTTATTTACCCGTTTTCAAGTTTTGTGTAATAGCTTTTCCTGTGCAAGTTTACTATGGACTGAATAAAAATGTGCACCCACCATAGGCAGGGTCATGAGCAGAGCCACTGTTGCAGTTATTTAAGGCTTTGGGAAGGACCCAGGTGCTGTTGCTGTGTATTATTTATAAGCTTCAAAAGAAAAATATTTCCTTTTATCCTTTGCATCTAGGCGTGTTTTAATTAAATGTGTTGGTACCCTTTTCTCCAGGCTTCCCTTACCTATCTCCATTTCTTTTCTATCAAAATGCTGTTCTCTGGGGGCAACGGTAGATGTAAACTTAGTGCTTTCTGGGTTTGTTCTTGCATTCTTGCTCAGAGTTCAGATACAGTGCCCAAGAGTTCAAATACTGCTATATAGAAAACATATATATATATATATATATATATATATATATATATATATATCAAAATCTAAATCTGGATTATAGGAATCCCCCACTTTTTTCTGGCCACAAAAGAGAGGGGTACATAAATTGTGAATTTCATGGCTTGCATTAAGTGCCTGGGATAGAGCTACAAACTTGAAGTTCTCTTGGACCAGCAATAGATGAAATTTGTGGAGAATTAGACAAGTGGCTGCTTCTATTCCATCTCCAGGTAGATTGCAAACTTCCCTCCTGGTATTTTTATAACAAATTGAAAGGAGAGTCATTGATATTTCTGTCTATATCTGTCATGTGCCTCCCCCAAAAGTAGTTCTGAGGAAGCAAGCCTTGTCAAGATGATTCCCTAGAATAAAAACTCAGCTACTCTAGTCCTCACAACCTAAAAATGTGGACCCGGCACTGTGGAAAGTGTGTGGCCCAGGAGACCAGGGATATTGGTCTCTGTACTAGGGGGTCTTGTAGATTTTGAGCTTTTAATTCTGTTGTGAACATCTGTTCCAAAGCATTTTATTTTGCACAAATCAGTTCGGTAATCCCATGTGGGTTGGGACCTGGATGGGCGTCTAAACTGTATCTTTTGCAGGCTGCTTTTTTCTTCTTAAAATATTGTGGTGGTAAACAGAAGATATTTGCACCTTGCTGGTTACGTTCCCTTCCTGCCTCGCTCTGCTTCTCTTATTTGAACCTGGGATTAAATTTCAGGAGGGAAATTTTGTAGCGTGAGCAGAATGGACTTGAGCAGCAGCAACATTACCCTCATCTGCCCTCCTCTGGCTGACTTCTGTTGGAAAAGTCACTTCCTTTTGATTCTTAAACTGTGTATTTTTCATAAAAACGTCTTCATCTATACAAACGGACAGGTTTTTAGGGGGTAGGGGAGAGCAGAATGGCTTATGACACCCACCCTTTCCCCTTTTATGTTGGATTCTTGGGCATGGCTCACTTTTGGAGAAACAGGGAGAGTGATGAGGGTTCAGGGGGGACTAGAGGATTGCTTGGCCACTCACCAGGGAATCTCCTCCCCAAGGGATTAAGGTCTGACAAGACTGAGGCTCTCTCTCAAAACAGCGTGTTGATCAAAGATTAAAACGTTTATGTGTGAGCTAAATAGAAAGGGAGACATGTGTCTATGTGTAGGAGAAAACACTTCTACCAATCTTGATCCAATCTCTGGTTCTCCCTCAATTCTAGTGGGATTTTCTAGGCCCAGGGCCTACAGTGAATCTTTCATTATTTTACCTAAGGTGATTCCCAGGAACACAATTTCTGTCTGTGGGCAATTATTTAACTTCCCTTTGCCTCAGTTTTCTCATCTGTAAAGTGGGATAATAATGCTACCTAACTGGGAGGATTGTTGTGATGGTCAACTAAATTACTATCTGTACAGTCCTAGATAATGGTGCCTGGCACATAGTCAAGTTGTGTAACGGTTAGCTATTATTAGTGGGAGATTGCTTAGAGGAGGTCGGTAACCACTGTTAAGAGTTTGCCCCTTAGGTGTTTTTTGGTGTTTTTTGTTGTTGTGGTTTTTTTTTGTTGTTGTTGTTTGTTTGTTTGTTTGTTTTTTACCAATAAAGGTCAAAAGCTAGGGAGAGATCAGAGTAAAAAACACGTTTTCTTGGAGCTCCTGGCTGGCTCAGTCAGTAGAGCATGCGACTCTTGATCTCAGGGTCCTGAGTTCAAGACCTACCTTGGGTGTAGAGCTTACTTAAAAAAAAAAAAAAGTGCACCTTTTCTCTGTAAAAGAATTGTATTGATTGATGACTTTGTCTCTAAGTAGTAATTCTTGTTAGTATTGGTAGAGGTGGGGGGTAAAGGATCACCTGGGGGAAACAATGGACAGCAAGTACAGTAGAGGCTTCCAGCAGCAAGTCTTCAAGTCTCAGAAGACTGGTGAAGGCCAGGCTTCCATGATTACTACCTGGACAGGCCGAGTGTGTGTCAAATGGAAGAAAGTGTTCTTAAAAGAGTGAAGAAATGGATATCTTGTTTAGAAATTTTGCGCAGAAACTCTCACTACACAGGAAAGGCCCACAGGGCAAGTAACACCGTAGTCCCTGGGCGAATCTGCCCTCATGTTTATAAATACATTGGAGAAGTGGGATGAGTATCCCCTGCTGTGCTCTGCTCTCTGATCCCCTGTGCAGTCGGTGAGAGAGAGCGAGGGAGAGGGAAGACTTCCTCTTGGTCTGCATTTTGCTTAGGTTCCTGTATAAGTACATTGATCCCTCTACAATTTCACGATTTATTTTGTTTGGGGGAGGACGCAGGTCTGTGACCTTTCGTCTCTCTCCATCCTGGACGGCAAGTTACAGATGGACAGTGTGGGGGTGGGCCACAAGTGGAGGTGACCTTCCCTTCTGCCTCCCGAGGGGACCTCTCGGCCACCCCTCGGTTCTCTCTCTCTCTCCTTCCCTCGCAGGATCTACACTGGCTGCGACATGGACCGCCTGACCCCCTCGCCCAACGACTCCCCGCGCTCGCAGATTGTGCCCGGGGCCCGCTACGCTATGGCCGGTTCTTTCCTGCAGGACCAGTTCGTGAGCAACTACGCCAAGGCCCGCTTCCACCCCGGTGCGGGCGCGGGCCCCGGGCCGGGCACGGACCGCAGTGTGCCGCACACCAACGGGCTGCTGTCGCCGCAGCAGGCCGAGGACCCGGGCGCGCCGTCGCCGCAGCGCTGGTTTGTGACACCGGCCAACAACCGGCTGGACTTCGCCGCTTCGGCCTACGACACAGCTACGGACTTCGCGGGCAACGCGGCCACGCTGCTCTCGTACGCGGCCGCGGGCGTGAAAGCGCTGCCGCTGCAGGCGGCGGGCTGCACCGGCCGTCCGCTCGGCTACTACGCCGACCCGTCCGGCTGGGGCGCGCGCAGCCCCCCGCAGTACTGCGGCGCCAAGTCGGGCTCGGTGCTGCCCTGCTGGCCCAACAGCGCCGCGGCCGCCGCCCGCATGGCGGGCGCCAACCCCTATTTGGGCGAGGAGGCCGAGGGCCTGGCCGCCGAGCGCTCGCCGCTGCCGCCCGGCGCCGCCGAGGACGCCAAGCCCAAGGACCTGTCCGACTCCAGCTGGATCGAGACGCCCTCCTCCATCAAGTCCATCGACTCGAGCGACTCGGGGATTTACGAGCAGGCCAAGCGGAGGCGGATCTCACCCGCCGACACGCCGGTGTCCGAGAGCTCGTCGCCGCTCAAGAGCGAGGTGCTGGCCCAGCGGGACTGCGAGAAGAACTGCGCCAAGGACATAGGCGGCTACTACGGCTTCTACTCGCACAGCTAGGCCGGCCCTGCCCGCCCGGCTCCGCGCCCCGCCGCGGCCCGGCCCCCTCCCGCCTCCCACCCCCAGCCAGCCCCTCGCAGCTCTCCCCAGCTCCTCCTCCCCACGCCCCACCTCGCGCACCCCCTCATTTCACTTGGCCCTCGAATACCGTCTGCGACGAATAAGTACAGGTCTCCGAGTGCGATTTTAACCTTTTTTTGCACAGCAGTTTCTGCAGTTAGCACACCGACCTTCAACTTTGCTGTAAACCTTTTGGTTTTCCTCCTAACTCTTCTTCTGTGAAGTTACACTCCTAACAAGCCTCCTCCCTCTCGTCTTTTTCTCACCCTCTCCTTCTCTTTCTTGTAATGAAACTCTTCACCTTTAGGAGACCTGGGCAGTCCTGTCAGGCAGCAGCGATTCCGACCCTCCAAGTCTCGGCCTCCCCATTAACCGTAGGATGTTGACTCTAGAACCCGGACCCACCCAGCGCGTCCTTTCTTATCCCCGAGTGGATGGATGGATGGATGGTAGGGATGTTAATAATTTTAGTGGAACAAAGCCTGTGAAAATGACTGTATATAGTGTTAATTTACTGTAACGAATGGCTAGTTTTTATTTTCATCGTCAAGGCACAAAACCAGTTCACGCTTAACCTTTTCATTCGTTTCTTTTCCTTTCTTTGCCATTTTCTCCACCCCCCTCCACTTTAAAATTTTTTCTTGTGAGATAATTAACAATATTCTAAGAGGCTCTGGAAACGTGAAATACTTGATAGATAATGATGGGCTTCTCACTTTCCCTCAATCCGTTGCATGAAATAATTGCTCTGTGCTCTAATGCACACACATAGCTAAGGAGAATCCGACCAAACACCTGTAAAGGATAGGTGTCTTGTTCATAGGCAAGTCGATTAAGTGGCATGATGCCTGCAAAGCAAAGTTAACTGGAGTTGTATGTCCCTCCCCACTCCCCACCCCCCCCCCCCTTCTAAATAGAATAGCTCGACATCAGCAATATTATTTTGCCTTATTTGTTTTTCCCCAAAGTGCCAAATCCATTACTGGTCTGTGCAGGTGCCAAATATGCTGACAAACTGTTTCTGAATATCTTTTCAGTCCCCCCCCTCCACCTTTATATGCTGTAAATCTTTGTAATGAATATCTACTAATGATATAGATGACTGAATTGTTGGTAACTATAGTGTAGTCTAGTGAAGATAAATTGTGTGAGTTGTATATTTTACTGCATTTTAGTTTTGAAAATGATTTCCCTGCCACCTAGAAACAGCTGAAATTTGACTTCCTTGGGAAAACACTAGCATTAATGCAAGTAAGACTGGTTTTTTCCCCTCTTAAGTCTTGTTATATTTGATAAGGAGCATTAATCCCCCTGGAAATAGATTAGTAGGATTTCTAATGTTGTGTAGCAAACCTATACTTTTTTTTTGTATTTTAAAATTAATGTGAAATATGCATCATACACAATATTCAATCTAGATTCCAGTCCATGGGGGGATTTTTCCTAATAGGAATTCAGGGTCTAAACGTGTGTATATTTTGGCTCTTCTGTAAATCTAATGTTGTGATTTTTATATTTGTTTCGTTTTGTCTGTGAACTGAATAATTTATACAAGTACACACTCCATTGAGAAACGTTTTGTTTTTTGCTCGTTTGTATCGTCTGTGTATAACAAGTAAATAAATCTGGTAAAACGCTATGGTGTTTGAAAGCAGTTTACAGTTTGAAAATAATTTATTATAGGTGATTACTTTTAAGGGTTAAGGAAGAATAGCCTGTTCCCACTCCAGGATGGGGCAGTCTGTTTAATGGGAATCACCTCCCATTTCCCACTTAAATTTGTTTTATAGCAGTACCAGTAATTACTTTTTCCTTCTTACTTACAAAGTACTTAGTTCCCTATGAGTCAAGTTTCACTTTGTTGCACTTTTTTTTTTTTCCCCAGGAAAACGTAGGCAGTTCCTCATCATAGCTATCTGATTTTCTCTGAAGTAGGAAATAATGCGAGCAGGAAAAGGAGGGTCTTAAATAAGGAGTTAAGAAAATTTCTTTCAATTTCACAGGCGGGAGGCTTTGGGCAAGAGTAGGGTGTGATTGAAATGCATGTCAAAATAGGCTGTTGACCACAGCTTTAGGCAGATGTCGAAAATCCCGATCTTTAAATACGAGGCCTTGGAGATGGGTGGCGAATCTGTAAATGCAAACACAGAATGGCCTACATTTCTTGAGTGGATTGTTTCGGGGGGATTGGGCGGGGCTGGAGCGGGGTAAGGACTCATTGAACAAACTCGGAACGGTCGGTATTCAGGCACTGAGTTTAAAACTTGCTTTGGGAGGTATCTGGACGGTTACCGCTCCATCTCTTCTACAGTGGAATTCCTGGGCCAGCCCTACCCAAGCCAGATCCCTATCCCTTGAGAACGAATGCAGAAATGTGGATATCCCAGCGTGTGGGGGGTGGGGGGTGGGGCGGGGAGGGGAGGGAGGTCCGCTGCGTCTTAGTCAAGGAGTCCGCAGAGCGCTGACTTTATTTCGTGCAGGAGCGATTTTTGTACTTTTGTCTCCAGAGAAAGGAGATCCAGGAAAGAGGTTGAAAATGGTTCAACATTCTTGCTTAGTCTGGGTCAGTCTCAGGTTATGGGACTAAACGTACCACCACCTAGAGATTGTCCCGTAACCCCTTTGCAATTTGAGAGATGCAAAGGGGCTTCAAAGTTCCAATTAAAATGAAAATTGAGAGGGGGGAGCAAACCCGATTTGTTGTCCCTGGGCAATTTCGCCACTAGACGGCGTTCCGCGGAGTTTTGTCTGCCACACCGAGAGGAGATGGCTGATTTTCCTTTGTGTTTCTTTCACCCTTCCCACACCTAAGACCTGAACGAGAGGACCAAAAGTACAAAACACGGTGCCTGTGTAGCCAGAGAAGTTGAGCAGTGTACTCTTGTAACACCCCACTGGGTCTGCGCTCCTGTGACCCGGCCGCCCAATGCCGCCGGGGAGGAGGCGCACAAGCGGTCAAGGTCCCGAGGGCGCGGGGTGCGGGGGCCGCGCTCGGCCCCGCCGCCCTCGGGCCACAGTCACGGCGAGCAAAGGAGCTGCTGTCATGTGTGGAAACGAAGCTCTCAGCAGCCGAGGATAGATTTCACAGGAACGTAGTGCCTTGTACCGAAAGACGCACTTTAGCTGCTATTAGGAAGTACTTCAAAAAATTGGGGAGGTCGTTTCCCTTGCAGCTCTGCCACCATCTCCACCATCTGCTGTGTGGACTGAGTCAGCGTGAGGTAAATTTGCAGCTCCGCGCTCCTCTCGGAGGCAGTGTGCTTTCGGGTCCCTTTCAAGCATGATCAGTTTTACTGGCTTTCAGTGTCTTGGGTGTCTAGTGAAGGGACACCGTCGCTGTGTCAGAGAAGCTGCTGCTGTTCCAAGGAAATCAGAGTTTGGATTTGGGAGGGCCTGTAGCAACCAAAGTTCGCGTCCCGGGTTAGATTTCGAGTTGCCTTTTCTCCGTGAGGGTAAGGGTCAGGCGAGGACGGAATCCTCCCCGCAACCTGCAGATATCCTCAGTTTTTAAAAGTGTGTTTTCAACGGTGTATTTTCTAAAAGAGGCAGGAAGAAAAAAGGCGAGCGTGCGGCGAGCACTGCATTCTGGCTCACGCCTTCCCGCCACTCACATTCCGCGCCATCTTAACTCACTTGCAACCACCCGCTCGGGGCCGAGTGCGGTCGCCTGCGGGCGCGGCTCTAGCCAGGGGAGCTGTGCCCTCGGTTGGTACCTCTCGTGGCGGACGCCGCGGGTCAGAGTAGACGAGAGGCGTGGCCAGAACGCGCTGCGGCCGCGGGCGGCCGGTGCGTGCTGCTTCGGCGGGCGAGGCTGCGCTTGGCCCGGGCCTAGCGCCGTCCGGGCGGGCGCCCTCGAGCCCAGGCCGGTGCGGGCGGGCGGGCGTCTGCAGGAGCTCGGCCGAGTGAGGCCGTGCGGGAGGCCTGCTCCCCGACGCTGAGCCTGGGCCGAGGCTTCCCTGCTTCGTCTGCGGGCCGGAGGCTGCACCCTGGCTGTCCTGTCCCAGTCCAGACAGGGATTCGGGGCGGAGGTCCAGGCTGGCAACCCGCGCCCAGCTGCAGGCCCGGAGCCCAGGAGGCTCGCTCTGTGCTCTCGGGAGTCCGTTCGAGCCAGGCCGAAACCTTGGCTGTGTCGGAGGGCGCCCTTTCCAGCTTGTAGCTCCTCGACCGCCACGGCCAGGCGAACGACTGGGATTTAGGGCGGACAGCCTTTTTAGGCCTAGCAGAAGCTTACTGATCAGTTTGTTTCCAAAGCCAGGTTGTTTCTGTGTCTTTAGGACTGACGTCACCCGAGCTCTTAAAATGCAGTAATTTAGAGGCTAGAGAGAACTTTCTGAACCCTCTTACCTCCTGCAGTTACATTTTCTTACAAATCCTACTGCTAAAACTCTCTGACCCACCGTTTTGGCGAAGTATTTATCTTTTTAGCACTGAGGCGTTCAAGGATGTTCTACCTTCTGTTGTGGGTGCAGGCTAGGAACAAAAGCCTTGTTGCATAGAGGCCATTTATATTCCTGGAGAACTTAAAACGCTCTATAGCAATATTTGGGCAGCGTGTTTGTGTTCGTAACTGATTTTATAAAACGTTCGGCCTGTGCTCGGGTACAGCACTTTTTTGTGTGTGTATATTAGTTACTTTATCATGTAGGCATTTTAGCCATGGGGATAGGAAAAAAGTAGAACCTGTGTGAAAACAAACCAAAATAGGTCCTCCAAAGGAAAAGCAACTATTCTTATTTTTAGACAAAGTTACTTATGAGGAAGTCAGCATCTTTTTTTTTTTTTTTTTTTTTTTTTTTTTTTTTTAAGATTTTATTTTCAAGGAATCTCTACACCCAACCTGGGGCTCAAACTCACAACCCTGAGATCAAGAGTCTAATGCTCCATGGACTGAGTCAGCCAGGTGCCACAAAAGTCAGCATCTTTAATGACCAGTGATAAGAATTCAATTTAAAAAAATATTTTCTTTGCTCTGCTGTGTGGGCAATTACTTGGCTAATTTTAATATTTGAAAGAATAAAATTTT